ATATATCAAATAATTATTTGATATAGAATCTTTAAATAATATAATATATTTTAGCATCTCATGTATTAAAATTTTATATTATTTGAATCTTATTTTATTACTATATATCTCATATATTAATAAAATAAAATTTTCCTTCAAATATATCTAATACATTAATTAGGATACCATCTTTAGCAAAATAAAATCTTTTAATATTTCATATATAAAATTTTATATTATTTGAGTCTTATTCAAATTAATATTTTATTAGTATATCTTAATAAAATATAAGTTTCTATTTAAWGTATCAAATACATTAACTCATATTCCCTTTATTGTTTAATATATCCAAATGCATTAAATAATTAAATATGAATTTGAACATTTCAATTCAATTCTCCTTCGACACATTTGATCCATTTATTTTTTTTTTAACTAGCAAGGAGATCTTATGGACCTACATTTTATAATCTCTAATGATACARAATTAATTAGTTAAACCTATTAGTTAATTAATTTTCATTCATTAACCCGAGGTTACTTCAGTATAAACCCAGAGTTACACTCTTATGCATTGTAGGACAAGTTATGTTCATGGATATAATCATTACATTCAAGTCGACCCTTCACGAGTTGTGCAATATTTTCTTATTTTTAGCTGAACATATTTTCAAACAAATTTGAAAATACAAATTTCATTGCTTTCGAAAATTCATATTATATGAACTTTCTCGTAATGAAGTTATTGAAATCAAATTTTAATTAAAATCTAGTACTAAAAGCACCTTGTTCAATATTAAATATGAACCATTATTTAACGACATCTTTATTGTCTCCCTAGTACATCAACTGAGATAATCTTCCTAGTACCAACTTGTAGAAATCCTTCTTGTAGACATCGTATTTGGTTCGGYCTAATTTTATTTTTATTATTATTATTTTATAACTTATTTTTATTCCGATTAGTTTTTATTATTTTTATAAGGTAAAGTTTTAAGTTATATTTTGCTAAAACATTTGTTTTTATTATTAAATTTAAGAGAAAAAGGTTTTTCAATTAAATTAGATTTTATTTCAAAGAATTTTGTTTTTTTAAATAAAAATATTTTATTTATTTTTATTTTTATTTTTATTTTATTTGTGTTTTGAAAGATTCTCATCTCCCTCCTGAAAAGCTCCCCATGGACTCTTTTCCTTCTTTTCCTCCCTCCTTTTTCTCTCTTCTCTTTTGACTCTTTTTTTTTTTTTAACCGTTGTATTTCTATGTATCTAAGAGGGTTGCATTGCACAGAACAGAGGGAGAACAAACATAGAGAGAAAAAAATTGGGGAGGAGTGAGAGTAAAAAAAAAATCTCTTTCCCTCTTCTTCTTCACTACCCAAAACCCAAGCCATTTTTCTTTCTTTCTCTTTCTAACAACCCCACCATCATAGCCAGCTGATCTACAAAACTCCGACAACGAAAGCAGCGAATCTAGACGAACAGCTGTAGATCCGACAACGACCATTTTCAGCGCGGCACATTCACAACCTCCGGAATTAATCAGATTCCGGTGGATTTACTGCTTTCCATAAAAGCGGCGTCTCATTTAACAATAAAGTCGGCGTCCGGTGGGGTTTCAACAAAGAAAACTTTTTTTTTTTGTTTTACAATAAAAAGAAAAAGTGTTGATTTTTTTTTTAAATAAGGAAAATGTCTTGGGTGGAAAGTTCGTTCTTTTAAACAAGGAAAGTAACTCGTTTTGGAGAAAGAGAATTTTGGATTAATAAGGAAAAACGTTTTTGGGTAAAATAAACCTAAGTTTTTTTATTTAATAAAAAGGAAAGAATTTTTTTTAAATTAAGTTTTAACTCAGTTTTTGAAACGAAGATAAAAAGTTTTGATAAATAAAATTTATTTTAAAACAAATGGATTTTATTTTAAAAATCAAAATAATATTTTGTTATAGTTTTTAAATTCAAAATAAATAAAATTTTGGATTTTTAAAAAAATATATTTTTTTAAAAGTTTGTTTTCCTAAATGAGTAAAAAGAGTAAAAGATTCTCGAATTTTTAAAAAAATTTATAAATGAATAAAAAAAGTGATAGATTTTGGGATTTTAAAAAATTTGTGTTCCTAGATGTATAAAAAGAGTAAAAGGTTTTTGAGAATAAATTTAATTTTAAAAGTAATTGAGTTCAGAAAAGTTGAGTTGAAAAAAAAACGGAAAATTTATTTTCTTTAAGGAGAGTTTAAAGTAAAGTTTCTCTTTTTTAAGTTCTAGAAAATAAATTAAAAGATTTGTTTTTTAAAATAAAATTATGTCTTATCCTGAGGTGTTGGTGTAGTGGTAAAAATCTTGAGGATTCATCTAGTCCAGATGCAAATAAGAAATTTTGGAAGATTATGTGGAATTTAAATATTCTTCCTAAAGTAAAACATTTTATATGGAGAGCTATACATGGAATAGTCCCTACAAAAGATAATTTATCTAGTAAAGGTATGGATGTTACCCAATTTTGTCCAGTGTGTGATTCGTCCAGAGAGGATGCTGCCTACTTGTTCTTCAAATGCTCAAGGGCCAAGGAGATTTGGTTGCGGTGCCTGCCGATTGTTCCATTACAGTCGATATTTTTTCCAAAGTTGGAGGACTCGTGGTGGCGTTTGTGTGAGCTTTTGTCTGCGGATGAGTTGGCGTGGGCGGCAGTTGTGTGATGGGCTATCTTGTGTGACAGAAATAGAAGAAACAAGGATCACGAGTGTTGGCCGATAGAAGCAAGATGTGAGTGGATGTCAAGTTTTCTGGATTCTTACCGTAAGATGCAGGGGAGGCGTTCAACTCAGGCGATGGTGGCTCCCATTACAAAGATGGTGACAGAGTCAAGGGAGTTGTCGGTATGCATGAGAATCTCTACCGACACTGCCTGTTCTCGAGATGGGTTGACAACAGGCCTAGGGATTGTTTTCTATTTACCTTTGGGCAAGCTATGGCAAGCAAATGCAAGATTTCTTCTTTCTGGATTGCCACCGCTGCACGCAGAGTTGTGTGCCATCAAGGAGGCCCTAGTTTTGGCGTCAAATTTAGAAATTAGATCTTTGGAAATATTCTCTGACTGTTTAGTTTAGAGGCAATCCAGATGGTGCTGAAGGTAGAKGAAATTAGAAATGAACTTGGCATATGGGYAGAAGACATTACCAAATTGTGCAAGAGTTTTGAATGGGTGCGATTTGTGCATACCAAACGTGATCGGAATTGGCAAGCAGATGCAGTGGCGACATAGGCGTTGTTGAGGCATGAATCGATGTGTTGGTTAGGGTTTTCCCTTCGTGGTTGCTGAGGGAGGAGAGTCTTCCCCCTCTGTCTAATTTTACCCTTTGTGGTGTTTTATTTTAATAAAGATATTTTCGTTTTTGTCAAAAGAAGAAAAAAATCTTGAAGATTAATATCCATAATCAAGTTTGAGTCTTTGTATGCCCCAAAATAAATTTTTTTTCTAATGGAATTCGTGTCACTCATGCATATTATTCATACCTTATAACAAAGTGTGAATTAATATAACATGAGACATTTAAATTAAAATACTAAAACAATTTTATTTTGGACTAAATAAAATATGATAATTTATGGCAAAATCTGGTAGTGTTTTCAAACGGGTGTCGTAGGATGCTAACACCTACCGTACGTTTAGTTCACTCTTGAACCAAAAATATGTTTTTCACAGATTACTTTTATTTTTATGTGAGCAATCACACCTCGTGGATGGTTGATGGCGACTCCAAACCCTTATCTCAAAAAAACCCTTAAGAAGATGTCTTTGGCCGCTCCGTGTCGCGATGACGTTGCGATACTTCTACATTATTAAGTCTTTTCCAAGAATTACGTGATGAACTCRAGCTCTCTCTAGATTCTTCGGAGACCTTTAGTGACCCTTGAGGCTGTTTTGGTTCGTGAAGAATCTATTAGAATTTTTACGATGGGACTGGACGGGATGTTGAAACGTTTGGATGGCTTGAAGCTAACAGAAGCAGAGGAACGTCCTTTTGATCTAAATGATGATGAAGTGGATGAGTTTGGAAAGCATCTTAAGAACACTTTGGTGTGTAAATTACTAACAGGGACAAGTATCAAAGAAGCAGTATTCAAAATGGTTATGCCTAGGATTTGGCTCATGGATGGAAGAGTCAAAATAGACAAGGTAGGAGACAATGTTTATCGTTGTAATTTTAAAATTTCTAATGATAAGCGCAGGGTCATGGAGAATGGTCCTTGGATCTTTGATAAGGCACTGGTGCTGGTAGAGGAACCGAGTGGGTACAACAACTATAAAAGCATGGAATTCAGGTACGCTTCATTTTGGATTCATCTACATGCATTTGGCTTGCTTTTCTGAAAAATCAGCAAAAGCTATTGGGAACATGATTGGATCSTTTGAAAAAGTGGCGGTTGATGCAGATGGTTGTTGTGAGGGAACGACTCTTCGTTTGAAAGTCTGGATAGATATCACACAACCACTGCAGAGAGGGATCAAAGTAAAAGCAGGATCGATGGCCTCGGTTTCTAGCAATAATTACACTGAGGATATGGAAAGTTTGGCAGACAAGGGACATATAGAGGAGGGGGTTACACTTAAGGCACAATCAAATGTAGCGGATTTAAGCAACAACCCAGAAGGTTTTTTGAAAGGGAAAGGAAGTAAGAAACCATCTGAATTTTCTGGAAAAGGGATAGGAACGGATGGTGAAAACACCTTATTGGCTCAAAGTGATATCCACGGAAATTATACGGAGTCTGGAATTCTGATTGGAGTTGCCCAGTGTGCTACCCCCATAAAGATGTTGGGAATGGCTCAACTCATAAATGGAAAAGACAAGTGAGGTACACTGAGGAAAATATGGTTAATACACTAGAAAACAAGATTCTTGGTAAAAAAAGAATGAGTTGTGAGGATAACGAAATGGTGTTCACCAAAAAAAGGTGCTTGATGAATGACGATAATGATCAATCGGCGGTGGCTGGAAAGCAGCCCCGCCGGTCGCAATGAAAAGTCTGTGCTGGAATGTTCCGGGTTTGGGGAACCCTGACACATTCCGAACGTTGCGCAATTTAGTGCGCAGATCGCAACCCCAGTTGGTTTTTCTTTCTGAAACAAAAGGAAATCCAACTTTAGAAGGACGAGCAAAACGGGAACTTAGTTTCGATTGTTGTGTTAGTGTTGCTAGCACGGGGAAAAGTGGAGGTCTTATGCTATTATGGAACTCAGATTCAAATGTTAGGATTCAGTCTATGTCACCGGGACATATAGACTCAATTATTACAGATAAGTACGGATCGTGGAGATTTACTGGATTTTATGGAAACCCTTGCACGTATAAGAGATCGGCTTCATGGAAACTTTTAGAAAGATTGGCGCGAATGATGGATTTACCTTGGATTATCGGAGGGGATTTTAATGAGATAGTGTCTATGACGGAAAAGATGGGTGGGGTGTGCAGGAATGAGAGCCAGATGCGGGGGTTAGAGACGTGATTCATTCCTGTGCCTTGATAGATCCAGGTTTTGTGGAAGATCCTTTTACTTGGTGTAATAACCAATCTAACAGCTGCCCCATATGGGAACGCCTRGATAGGTTCCTTATTAACGAGAGCATGCTTAATAAGTGTTTAAATCTTAAGGTCACACACCTTGAACTGCTTTCTTCAGATCATAGGCCCATTTTAGCTTCCTGGGACTTTGAACTGCCACGCGCTTGGACATGTCACAAGCAGAGGAAGATAAGATTTGAGGAGAGTTGGTTACAGATTGATGGCTGTAGGGACATTATTACAGGGACTTGGGGATCCTTGCCTGGGATTGGAATTGAGGCGTTTCAAGCAAAAATTTGTTCGTGCCTCTCTCGGCTTAATGAGTGGAATAAAATTAGATTGAACAGATCTCTTAAAGGGGCTATTGCGTATAAGGAGAAAGAGCTTGAAAGACTTCGCCAACTAGATGGGCTAGATGGAGAGAGGAGATGCTGGAGATCGAGAAGGACCTGGGGACTYTGCTAAAAGAAGAGGAGTTGTATTGGAAACAAAGATCAAGAGAAGATTGGCTTCACTGGGGAGATAGGAACACTAAATAGTTTCATATTAAGGCTTCTCAGCGGCGGAAAATAAACCGAATTGAGGGAATTTTTGATGATCAAAGAGTTTGGAGAGACAGAAGAGAAGACATTGAAGGTGTCGCAACTGCTTATTTTAAATCTCTCTTCTCTTCCACCAGGCCAACAGAGTGAGATTATGATAGAGTTCTTCAGTGTGTGCAAAAGAGTATTAGCGATAGTCAAAATGCCATACTAGCCAAGGATTTTACAAGAGAGGAAATCGAAGTGGCCCTAAAAGGAATGCACCCTTCCAAGGTTCCTGGCCCAGATGGGGTTCAAGCAATGTTCTTTCAGAAATTTTGGACTGTGGTTGGCAATGATACAATAGATATTTGTTTAAAAATTCTGAATCATAAAGAGCCTTTAGGTAAAATCAATTAGACTCATTTAGTCCTAATTCCAAAGAAGAAAGAGGCACAGGAAATGAAAGACTTTGTCCAATTAGTCTTTGCAATGTACTGTATAAGCTCATTGCCAAGGCCTTGGCTAATAGGCTTAAAAGTGTTATGGATAGTGTGATTTCCCCTACCCAATCAGCCTTTGTGCCAGGCAGGAGTATCACGGACAACGCGATCATTGGCTTTGAGTGCATTAATGCTATAAAAAATAAGCGATATGGAAAGTTGGGGGAAGTGGCTATGAAGTTGGATATGAGCAAGGCTTATGATAGAGTGGAATGGCAATATCTTAGAGGAATCATGGTAAAGATGGGCTTTGCAAATAGATGGGTGGATCTGATTATGAATTGTGTGGAATCTGTTCGGTTTGCAGTTCTGATAAATGGGGTGCCGGGTGATGAATTTACACCTAACAGGGGACTTCGACAAGGAGACCCACTTTCACCTTACCTGTTTATTATGTGCGCGGAGGGGCTCTCTGCTCTTATAAATGATGAGGAAAAGAAAGGGAATATCACAAGATTGAAAATCAATAGGCGATGCCCCCCCATTTCACATTTATTTTATGCTGATGACTGTTTGTTGTTTTTCAAAGCTTCTACAGGTAACTGCAGGAGCATTAAAGGGATTCTGGAATCTTACGAAAAGGCATCATCTGGACAATGCATTAATCTTGACAAATCAATGTTCATTGTGAGCAAAAATACCAAGGAGCAAATGGTAGGGGTGATAAGGCAGGAGCTGATGGTGAATCATACGGAGAGCCTGGGTCAATACTTGGGTCTTCCTTCCCAAACAGGACGAAACAAGAGGCAGGTGTTCAACAATATTAAAGACAGAGTATGGAAAGCACTTCAGGGCTGGAAAGGGAAGTTGTTTTCGATGGGAGGGAGGGAAGTACTCATTAAAGCTGTAGCTTTAGCAATCCCAACATACACAATGAACTGTTGTAAACTTCCTTTTAACCTCTGTGCTGAAATAAATTCTATGTGTGCTAGGTTCTAGTGGGGARCGACGGGCAYGGAAAGGAAGATTCATTGGCGCAGTTGGAAAAGACTGTGTATCCCGAAAGATCAAGGAGGGTTGGGCTTCARAGACATCAGTATCTTTAACCAGGCAATGTTAGCTAAGCAAAGTTGGAATTTGTTAAGGAACCCTTCCAGTTTGGTGGCTAGCGTCCTAAAGGGTCGATATTTTCCTAATGAAAGCTTCCTCAAAGCTAATTTTGGGGAACAATCCATCATTTGTTTGGCGAARCATTCTATGGGGCCGTGATCTATTTAGGAAAGGCTATCGATGGAGAATTGGTTCGGGGATCGATGTGGATATAGCGGATGAACCTTGGCTTCCAAGATTAGGAAATTTTAAGCCTAATTATGTGCACAACTCTTTGTCTAATTCGAAGGTTGCTTCACTAATAAGGGAGCCAGGAGTGTGGAATGAAGAGATCATCAGGAATTGCTTTCAGGAAGATGAAGCTGATTTAATCATGAATATCCCCCTTAGYAGGAACGGCCCTAATGACGAGATAATATGGGGATTTGACAAGAAAGAGTTTTTTAAAGTGAAAAGTGCTTACAAATTGGGGATCAACGCCTATGAATCTGATTCAGCTTCCTCATCACATACCGACTTGATAAGTATGTGGTGGAAGAGGTTCTGGAAAGTTCAAGTCCCCCCCAAGATTTTGCTTTGCTGCTGGAAGATTATACAAGATATTATCCCAACCTTTGCTTATCTTAGCTCTAAAGGAGTCTCAACCAAAAAAGGGTGTCCTCTTTGTTGTCAGAATGGACGACAATGGACTACTTCGACTAGATTTGGCGAGACTCGGACCAGTACAAAAGACAATTAGGGCTAGTTCTTCTATGGAGTATTTGGACATACAGAAACCAAATTGTTCACAGCACAATTGAGCAACCTTGCTCTCAGAAGATTAGGGCTTTTACCGAAAGTAAAATTTATGAGTTCACAACAAATCTTGGAGGGAACCTGAACATGGAGGATAAAATTCTCCCTAGGACCATCGGCTGGACCCCCCCGACGCAGCACCTGTGGAAACTAAACGTTGATGCTACTTGGATGGATTTGTTGCATGCCGGCGGTCTCGGGTGGGTTGTTCGTGACTCCGAAGGGCACTCATGAATTTGGAGTTGCACCTCAAGCAATGAATGGAGAAGAAATCTTTAGTAAGACAAGTAATATTCTATGTCGTAAAAGAAAGAAAAATGTCAAATGAGGTTCAGACAAGAAAACATCAAAACAATGTTTGAATAAAAGGTGGAAAAACTTTATGTCAGACATTGTTTAGATTTGATGCATATTGAGAAAAACGTATGTATGAATATTATTGGCACACTCCTCGAYATGCGTGGAAAAACAAAAGATGGATGAGCAACGAGATTGGATTTAGTCAAATTAAACATTCGACCAGAACTAGCAGCAAAAGTTGGACAACAAACTACTTRTATTCCTCCTGCATGTTATACATTATCAAAAGATAAAAAATGTCAAGCATGCAAAACATTAAGTGAAATCAAAGTATCGGAAGGATACTCTTCTAATATCAAAAATCTTGTATCACTTCAAGACTTGAAGCTAGTGGGACTTAAATCTCATGATTGTCATTTACTTATGCAACAATTGTTCCCCGTTGYTATACGATCAATTTTACCTAAGCATGTGAGGTACGCAATCTCTGGTTATGTTTCTTTTTCAACAAAATATGCAATAAGGTTCTGTCAGTATCCCAATTAGATGTATTACAAAAGGATGTTGTACTCACTTTGTGTTCATTTGAGAAATATTTCCTACCATTATTCTTTACAATAATGGTTCATCTCATCTTTCATCTCGTCAGAGAAGTTAAATGAAACAAATCATGTCTCGAATACTTTAAGATGACTTGCGCATGGTCCTCATGTAGAAGTAACGACCTACGAGAGTTACACAATTAATGGATGTCATTATCAAACAAAGAGTCGAGATGATGTGCGCGCTATTMAAAATAGCGGGGTTATGTAGTGGCTAGAACGATGCAAATTTCTAGTGCTAAAGATAAGAATCCAGTTATTACTGATATGTCATTGTACTRGATAATAAAGGAGATTTGAGAGCTTAACTATAATATATTTTCTATTCCAATGTTTATGTGTGATTGGGTAGAAAGCAAAAATGGTGTAAAAGTTGATGATCTTGGATTTACTTTAGTAAATATTAATCGAATTGGACATAAGACTGAAAGTTTTATTATGGCTACTCAAGCTAAACAAGTTTTTTATATACATGATCTAGTTGATTCAGAATGGTCGATAGTACTTGACATTCCACAAAAAGAATATGATGATTATAATGATAATTGTGATGAAGTCCGRGACACAGTACTAGTATCCAATGAATTTTCTAAATTTATGCCATCTTTGAGATGTCATATATTAGAACATATTGTAATGGTATATGGATTATGAATAATAATACAAATAAAGATAATTTAATTAATATCTTATTTTTCATTATTATATAGGGTGCATAATTATATAATGTACTCATATGTATTTGTTTTGTATTTTATTTTTTAGAGGATAATGGAGCACCAGAGTGATAGTGATGATAATGATAGCGTTCCTCAACCTGATGATATTTGTACGAGAAACACGAGAGGACSGACTATTATGCAAAACTTGTTTCGTATATGTTCAGCTAGTGAGCGTTTGGTTATTCGATATTGTTTGGTTTGTAAGGAGTGCAAACAAAGTCCCACATTGGCTAGGGAATGGGTGATCCATGGTATATAAGGAAGGACAATTATCTCCATTTGGGGCTGAATTTGATAATGAAGTTCTGAAAGTCTCYCACGTGTCCGGCAATGTACCAAGAAGCCATAACCCTCCTCAAACTTTATTTTCATTCCTGCAAGCTGATTAATGATACATTTGAATGTATTCAAGTGATCTGACATAGGTGTTCCATCTTGATACTTCAAAGCCATCATTTGCTTTATCAGAAACATTTTATTATTACTAGTTTTTGGGGCATACAACGACTCAAGCTTGTTCCACATAGTCCGTGCATGTGTTTCTTCTCCAATATGATTTAGAATATTTTCTTCTACACAATGTCTAATAAAGCCACAAACTTTTCTATGACATATTTCTCATTCTAAATCAGTTTTATCTTCAGGCTTCTCAAGTGAAAAAACAGGAAGATAAAAACCCTTCACATATAAAACATTTTCCATCTTCCTTTTCCAAASTTGATAATTTGAGCCATTCAAAGTCGCTACAACTTGCTCACATGCACTTAGTCTCGGGCTACTTTTAGACCACTAACATGCAACTCTTTCTTCTTGTGGCTCACTCCGCATTTGGCTTCAAGGTAGCTCCACAACTTTTTGGGAGCATCGTAAACGCTGCCTTCTGGTCGCTTCCACTCACAACGGAACCGCCAAGCCTTAGGCAAAGTACTTGGGTCTTGCTTTCTGACGGGATGGACTACCCCAATCGAACGTCTACTAACGACATCATTTGAGTCTCAAGAAGTCTGTCATTAACTCTTCCTTCTACCTCTGATACTGACTGACGCAACTGCCCTGCCAAACTGCCACTCTTGACACACTTGCAGAGTCTTCAATCTGAACTTGGCTTTGTCCAATTGTCCGACTAAACGCACAAAGAATGGCTCTAATACCAAATCACACTCTGTGATTTGGGCTTTGATCTCTACTCGTGGAGCCAACTTCTATTTAGGCCACCTATTGTGGAAGATCAGCTGCAATCACCGTCCCTCTCTCTTTCGAAGGCACCCTACCTATTTCGTCTTCGGCTTTTTCTTGCTCGTTCTTGTGCACTTGCTTGGGATATGATAGGTGATGTACCATCCTCCTTGGTCGTATCACGACATTTCACTATCGACCCTCATCATGGCCCGATAGGTGACCTATGCATGTCGCTGACGCTTGCACATTTGGTGAGGGTCTCGATCCACTCTTTTATAGTAGGGTTGAGACATTCTCCCCCACTTAATCTGTCATCGTCCTCGATCTCCACAATGGTAAGGACAACGGTACCCTAAGTACCCCACGTATCTCCACAATGGTATGATATTGTCCGTTTTGGGCATAGTCCTCATGGCTTTGCTTTTGGTTTCACTCAAAAGGCCTCACGCCAATGGAGATAATTGTTCYYTCTTAGATACCTATGATCATTCTCTTCCTTAGCCAATGTGGGACTTTGTTTGCACTCCTTACAAACTCAACAATCCTCCCCTCGAACAAARTGCCACTTGATTTTGCCTAGGATAGTCATGCATTCATCTATTCCCRGCTGTCAACGAGAGTCTACTTCTATCCAACACTTCTAGATAGATCACTTACTACACGGGCCAACATTGTGGGAACACCTGGTATCGTTATATCGCACCCTCAATCTCCTCCCCTTGAACAAAGATACCTCATTCTTCCTATCAGTCTACCCGACTATGATAGGCTCCCTATCAATCTACCCTGATGACTTGATAGGGCACATGTCTTGCTCGTCACCCGAGCATAGAGCATGTCCTTGCTCTCCACCTCGAGCACTTTTTGTTCGCTTTTGAGATTCTTCCACAAGTTCCGTGTTAGGGTTGACTTTTTACTGTAGAAACATGTGTCGGTAGCCCTGTTTGACCACGTTTTTTACCCATTTCCCATTAYTATTTGCCAAAAAGGACCACATATTCTTGAAGTAGAACATACATAGATTATTTATGCATAAAAGTCAAACTATGGTATTTTAGGAAAAATATTAGATAAATGCGGTCAAAGTTGGAAGAAAATAACAGAATTCTGTCTTTTGCAGAATTGCGTCCGGCGCATTTTTGGAGGGCAATTTGTCAAAACGCACGTTTTGATTAATGAAGGGCAAGGAGRACATTTCCCACATGTTCAAAACCGTGAGTCCAAGTCCAAGAGAGGTGGTTAGGTGAATCTCAACCCTTTTCCACCTAAAATRGAGGGGAGTTTCAACCAACCCATGRTGCTATAAAAGGAAGCCATCCATCCCTCAGCAAATGATCCCTTCCRAGCTTCATTTCATCTTCTTTTAGWTGCTCTCTAGTTGTAGAACACRTTTTTAGG